ATAGGGAGTTCCCATAAATTAAACAGTATAATCCAATCTGTTCCAAACAAATTTGAAGCATTTTGTAGCACATACACTTTAGACTTTAGTGTCTTACCAACAAATGAAATATTACAAGAAAATTCACCTTGAAAATGCAATTTTCTTCCAGAAATCCCGCGAGCCACTTTTTCAGTCTTTTTAAGCAAAGGTCTGCCTATTTTAATCCATGTTGCTATATTAATAATGGAAATATCACTTCCAGTATCTAGCTGTAGTTTAACATTTTTTCCATTAATTTTTACTTGTACGAATTTTCTTTTCTGCCCCTCCTCAATCTCCTGACGTGATAACACAATATTCACAATATCTTTTTTCGACTTAATTTTTTTTTTTTTTGCTTTTACAATGAGTACTTACATGGCCTTTATTGCCACACGTATAGCAATTTTTGTCGCGAAAAAAATTCACTTTTAAAATGACCACCACCACATCCAAAGCACGTTGGTTTTTAACGTTTTTATTAACTATTCCTTTTTTGGTCGAATAGCATGGACACGGGATACGTCTTTTCTTCAATTTGCGTATTGTCATGTTTTAAATTTTCAATTCTTTGACACTCTTCCGTAACCTTCTGCAAAGTAATCTCGAATTTTGTTCGAGTTTTGCCAATATTCGGGACCTTATGTCCTTATCTTTGCTAGAAGTCAAGCCTTGAACGAATATCAAACATTTAAATCGATCAATTGAAAGATCATGTAACATAAAACGTTCACACATTCTGTTAACATTTCCAGCATACGTAACAATATCCTCATCGTCACACGCTTTACCATATTCAAACACGAGAAATGAGTATGAAACAAACTAACTCGCTCGCCAAAAATACTAGATAAAGTATTAACAGTTTCTTCAAAAGAAATGTCACTAGTTTTTCTTGGAAGGACAAAATTCGTATACTTATTATTTTCATCTGTACCCAACTTTTGTAAAAGTAAACTCACTTTTTTGTTCATCAGTCCAACCTTCACATTTTTTTTTCAAATATTGTTTCAAATCTTCTGAAATACGCAGGAAATGTTATACCCTCCTCTGGGTTAAATTTGAACTCGGTAATAGAATTAGCAATACTTTTGGCGGTGAATGACGAATTTACTGGATTCTTTAGTAACATTGCTTCAAATAAAAAGCCTTTGTGTCATTTCGCTGCTGAACTTGTAAATCCAATAGTTGTTCCCAAAACAATTTTGTTGCTCTTGTTGCAATCTTTTTGTTGCTCTTGTTGCTGAATTTGGTTTTGCACTAGAGTTTTCGTTAATGCAATCAAATCTTCCATTATGCGTAATAGATTACACAAAACACTTTTCAAAACAGTCAAAAAGGAGAAAAACACATATATATCCAACAATAAGCACAAGTCTTACTTCTTTTGGCAGGTTGAAATCCTATTTCTTCTTGAAGAACAAAGTTCAACGTATTGTTTTTTTTTTTTCTTTCTTTCAGTGCGAGAAAAAAAAAAATTATATAGTCCACCTAGAGTTGAAAAATTCTCTACTCAGCGTGATGAATGAATCTGTCGTCGCCACTGTTATGATGTTAATTTGGAGTTAATAAAGACAAACGCCAAATAACATGTAACAATAAAATGGGGTTTATTCGGTTGGTAAGTTGGTACAGATATCGCCTGAGTAACTCAGCCCAGAACTTCTTCTACTCTGTCTTTTGACATGCCACTGTTTAACGTCCTTGTTTGTAGATGAGTTCATCTTCAAGAGGGGTGGTAGGTTCCTACACAACAATATAACAATGATTTGCTTTTTAAATAGCAGATGAAAAGTGGATGTCTTACGTCAATGTGAGATTCAAGAGATTATGGGGCAAATGAAAAGGACCAACAGAAGCAGATCAAAAAATGTATTCTGTGTTTATAGTGAAATCAGAAAGATGCCATCTGCCATCAGTTCCTTCTAAGGAAGAAAACAATTGGTTCAAACAAGCACTGCTTCTAATCAGCCCAAGTGAAGACAGCAACTGATGTAAAGTATCAAAAATTAGTTAAAAGTTGTAATATATAATCTGGATAATGCTAAAGCACATATTTCTCTGTTGATTTCTCACTGCTTCTAAAACTTTAATGTTTCTGATTCATGACCTACTCTATGTAGATGACTGTGACTTTGTTACACCCAAAGAGAAAGACTTCAGCTCCTGATAAACTATATATGATATATTTGGGCTTACTATCAATCTAAAAAAAAAAAAGAAAGAAACAGAACAGTAGTCATCATGCATCAGCCAACTCTTAGAAAGGTACCATCAATCAAAGGAAATCTGGAAATTGCCTACAGAGGTTCAAAAGGATGTGATGCATATGGCAACCTTGAAAACAAGTTATAGTTACATGCAGATATTAGTGTCTACCAAACATGTGTTCAGTCATCTCTCTTGTATGGTTGCAAGATTTGGACAACCTAGAGCAGTCATATACATCATCTGGAACATTTCTGTCAAAAATTCTCGAGTCATATTGTGAAAATATTATGGAGATCAAGAATATCATTGTGCTACAATGAGCAAAAATTTTGAGCATCATCCATGGTTATGAAGCAGAGACTTAGATGGGCTGGTCATTGATTATGCTTAAAGGACGATTGACTTTCAAAATAAGCACTGGCTTTTGAACTGGTGCAAGGCAAACATCCATAATGCAAGCTACACAAATGCTACACAGACTGTCTCAAGGATACACTTAAGACACATTAAGACATAAAATAAATTTTATTAAGATATAAAATAAATTTGAATTTGGCAATTAGCATTGAAAAAATTAGAAAAAATAACTAAATAAAATATCCAATATATACATATAAAATAATTAAGTAATTAAAAATAAATAAATTTAGAAAATTAAATAAAGTAAATAACCAGTACATTTATATTACAATAAATATTTATTGATAATATTTATTGAGTTTATCTCACTAAATAATAAATAAATATAATCACAAAAAATATGTTCGATATTTGCTGAAAGTCAATAATATAAAATAATTAAATAAATCAAATGTATAATTAATTTTATAAAAACAAATAAGTAATTGATAAGTTTTAATATTATAAATTATGTGATCATTGGAAAATTCGCAATGACAAAATTATATACAAGAAAAAATATGTGTAAATATATGTATAGGTTAATATATATATATACACACCATAAATTAGTAAACAATTGTGCCACGCCCGTTCTAACAGCCTGTTATGTTAACTGAAGCATCAGAACAATCTTGGGGGTTTCCAGCAGTATTTTGATTAATCATGGTTAATGTTTTTTTTGTTTTTTTTTAAATAAGGTACTTCTTACAGAATTGATTATACCTTGAAAATCAAATTTTCAATGGCCCAATGGGTAGGAAAGGAAAAAATCTGAAAACAAAAGTTGAATGTTGAACTTGTTCTTTTATTTCCCCTTGTCCAAGGACAAGTATTCAAGAATTATATTAGGGCTGTAGAAGCTGCTTGATGAGGGCATGTACAGATGGACATTCATCTAGGAGGTAGTGTGGATCAAGTACTTTTCATTTTTTTTTTTTAACCATTATCCCAAATGAGAGGTAGAAATCTAAGTATTGGTGGGAATGGATGGTTACTCCATCTTAGCATTGTTGCTTTTTTATTCTAACAGCTACAAAATTGAAAATAAGGAAGTTTTGTTGCTGAAAACTACTACTATTTGATTTCTACCTGATTGAAGAATATGTTGATCCAGAATGTTGTAATAATAAATAAAATAATGAAAATGCTATTAAAAAAACAATGCAATTGTTCATTGTTCAATTGTGTTATTTCTCTCATTGTGTTCATAGCTGTATATTGCCATTGTGGTTAGCCAATAGTTTTTAAATAAGTTTGTAAAAATGTTAAATCATTTAAAATTTGCATATTCCAGATTATTATTAAAAATTCCTCAATATTTATTTTCATTAGAATATATAACATATAATAACATATTAACAATATTCTGAGGAATCTGGAAAGGACTAACAAACATTTTTGCATTGTTAATTTGGGATTTCTCTTAACATGAAGATTATAATGAAATTAAAAAAAACTCTTGTTAATAAGAAGCAAAAGAAGAATGAATGGACAATTTAGAAAATTTTCAATAATTCTGCTGAGTCTCCATGAAATGGTCTGAATAATTTTATATTATATATATTATATTCAAACATGTTTCATTGAATAATATAGACATATTATGTCTATTTATTTTTATAATGATCCTTTCCAGTTCTTTAATCAGTTTCTTGATGTTAAGATGAAATTCATCAAGGAAGACGCCATAGTTTTTTTCCTACGCAAGTAGTTTCAATCTCCTCCAAGATCATCCTCAGAGTGAATTACAAAGACAAATTTATTTTAACTGTGATCATTGTGAACAACCAAATCACACATGGGGGCAGAAACACCAAAGTCATTAAATTCCAACTTCTGGTCTTTCAAGATTATATACATGTGAGACATCCATGAAATTTTCCAAAACTGCTGATCAGATGCTTCCCGACAAAATCCTTCAATCAAGTTAAGAGATATTTTATCATTTACAACTTCTATTATTGATATTCAATCTATCCATAAATGTATTTGTTGTCTCTTGGGTGGATAATCATTCCTTAATTATGGATTGCTTCACCATTTATCACTTTTGTTATGTTAGTGAGAGAGACAGGAATAATTAACAAAAGAAGAAAAAAAAAACTTTAATCTTTTTGTAGATAAAGCATGAAAATTTCATGACAGTAAATAAAGAAAATATTGCATACATAAAGGAAGATCCTGATACTCTTATTTAGTAATTTATAAATTCTTTTTTATTTGTCACTAAGCAAAATGTTTCTGCATGAAAATCCTTGTTTAATGCAAGTGAACAAAATGAAAGATTTCATTATAATTAAGAAAATGTCTCAAATAAGAAAAAGAATTTTAAGAAATGTTATTGATGAGAAACAAAGAACAATTACCTATGTCTCCTTCTTCTAAAAGGCGGATATCTGGACGCAGACGAGAATCAGTTGGAGGTAATGTATCTTTGATATTGTCTGTAAGTTGGTTCAACATCATAGCAAATAGTGTAAAACTGAAAAACTGCAAATAGACAGCAAGTGAATGAATGGATTAATTGAAGAAATCGAAAGAAAAGGTTAAATATGTACAATGTCGCCATCAATATAGAAAAGATGTTTAGATACATGTAAAAGAGAACAATAATTTAGGCAGAAATTCTTATAAGTAATAAAATGAAGGCCACAAGACTAGATTTACCTTTTCTATGTTTGGTCAATAAGGCTCATTAGGTTCTCTGATTACATAAGTTGAAAAAATTTTTTTCATTCCAAAAGTGAGTTTTGCATTTGTAAAATTAACTTACAATAGCTAACACGCAACAACTAAAGTATTTTAAGACAATTTTTTTTTTCAATTTTTGTAACACACTGACACATGTTGAAATCCTTACAATATTTAGTATTGTTGAAGTCACTACTAACATTTTCTGTCGAGATTTACAAACTACATTTCACAAGCCATTCAATAAAATATGAATAAGCTTATTTATTTAAAAAAATACTTTGACAAAAACTCTACTTTGTGGTTAATTTTATAGGACTTTATGGTAAACAATATTTTTTAATAAAATTTCTTTTTTTCCTTTTTAAGAGTGAAGAATAAATTCTTAGGATTTCTTACTCTTGAGCATGCAACATGTGTAAATATTTCTTTCTGGAATCAAATTCCAACTTTTGAAGCATTTGGCCTTTTTGATTTGTTTATAGTTCTTGCAAACACAGGGTGAACTGGAAACTGGATTCTTGCATATAAAAACTTAAAGAAAAGATATGCAAACAACAATATTGCATTTTTATTAAATAAGTATTTGTTATTTTAATCATTAAATTGTTTTAAAATAGTGAGAGTATTTTTTATGTTAAATAATAACATTTTTAATTTTGCAAAAAAAAAAAAAAAAAAAAAAAAAAGAATGAAAATTTATTGTACTAATGCACTCTAGTAAAACCAACTGTACTTTGTACCCTCTTACCTGTTTGAACTTCTTTTTAGAGGGTGTGATGGATGGACAGACAAAGGAACTAATGAATATAAATTATTTTTTGACAGGTTTTACATTCTTTTGTCCCAAATTCTCAAATCAAATTTCAAGATACTTTTCATTTGGAAATAAAATTTAATGAAAAAGAGATATAAATTCCAATTAATAAATGCATTATTATAGCAGGGATGTGTGTATAGCATAGCAGATATTGGCACAGCAAGTAAGTTCAAATTCCAGGTTAGTCTGTTGTATTCACTTTTGCACAAATGCACTTTGGAAAGGTATGAACCCATCTTTTCCCTTCCCAGTTATGGGTTAAATAGCAGAGTAGATTGGACTCTCTATAACTGTAAGTGATAACCAGAAGGGAAAGTCTGAATTCAAAACCATGAAGAAAGCAAAGGGAAACCACTAACTATTCCATGAAGTCATGGCAATTCACCAATCATGAAGAAAAAGAAACTTTGGGCAATCAGGATTATCTACATCCTGAAGGGACATTATATGATATTATGAAATGGTTATTGCCAATGAAGAATTCTTTGGAGCTAGTCAAAGTCCATTAAGGATATATTTTACCTGATTTGTGTTTTCTGGCCTTGGAAGCGCCTTCCAGAGGCACATCTCCCCAGGAATTCCAGGATCTGCATTTGGGAGCAACCGTGGAATGTCATCAGGATCATTGATTGCTGCTGATCCACTCTCACTACTGCCAGAGGCGCCATTCTCCTAAAACACAGGTTCACAATCAACAGATACTGACATAACAGAGAAAATGCAATCTTGAATTTCCCACCAATCATCATCAAATGCAATGAAAAAGAAAATAAGAAATTATATGTTAATGAACAATTAGTTTTGTTACATAAGAGAAATGAACAAAAATAAAATAAATTTACAACTGTCACAAAAATCTCAGATTATTTTAATACCAATTTACAACAAGGCTTTAATAGCTTACTTATGAAAAGAACATCATTTTAATTCTTTCTAAAGCATGATATTTTTTTTTAAATTTCAAGAGATTTTAAATGATCAGCATTTATTCCACAACAAAATTGTTATTCAATAAACAAATTACACAATTCACTTACAATATCTACAAACAAAAAAACATGCATGAAATCTATAACATCTAAACTATACCTAGGATTTTTTAAAAATTTTTCTTGTTTTAATATAGGTACCTCCACGAAATTGCTAAAAAAAAAGAGCATAGCTTGATGAAAAAAGACGCCAACCTTGCCAAAAAACAAAATTTTATTGTCTAAATGCTTATGTTATTATTAAGAGGAAAGACCAAAGTTTTTTTAAATTATTTTTAAAAATTTTCCTTCTTTTAGAACATTCTAAATTTTGATTAAAAAACCTTGTTTCTATTTGTATCAGCGGAACTAGTAAATAACAGACAATTTTTAGCACGTTTTTTTGGTATGACACACATTAATTTGAAAAATCGTGCAAAAATAGAAATAATTGTCGGATGTTAATGAAACTTTCAGGAACTATTCACAGATGATCGAAATTATTATAAATATGTTTTTTTTTATTAAAGTCATGGTAGAAATATTTTTTTTAAATATTTATTACCCCACCGAACTAATTTTATGAAAACACTAGAAATTCAATCCCATCGGTTTTAGTGATTACAATAATTAAAAGCACAGGGCTTTGAGGAATGCAAATCATGTTTTTTTTTGTTTTTAATTGGAGCCAACATACCTGAAAATCAGCTCTGAATTGTAACATACAAAACTCAATAAAACAAAGATATTATTTAATTTCAAATGCTTTTATTTGCTTTTAGTTATTTTTATGAATATGGACAATATTTTCTGAAAGCCAAAAATTTTTTTCGGTGAAAAATGAATTTTTAATACAATTATTTGTTATTTCTTTAATTATAATAGATTTTACATTTAAGTTGTTAAAATATTATAAAATTAGTTAAAAGCCACATCGGCTTTCCTAAGTGTCCTTATGAGATAGATCTTTTTTTAGCACGTTGTAAATTGTATCATTTTGACTAATCAGAAGATCCACAGTAATTAAGAAATCTAATTTTGTGCTTATAACCGGGCTGTAATTATAAAGTACGGAAGACCAACCAGAATATAATTAAGTTGCGTTATTTGAGTTAAGCATTGTTCTTCGCTGTTAAGGCCTTTACTTTTTTTTACAAACACGTGTGGAGAAGTTAATTTGATTTTTCAATTTCAACTGAGAAGGGTACCTACAGGTATCAGTATCATCGTATGAAATTTATATGATCTTATTTTTATATTAATCTCAGTTATGACATTTTTCCATAAATGAAATATCAAAATTAATAATAAAATGAATGCAAATACAAATAACAGTAAAATGTAATAAATGTACATAAAATTATAGTATTTTATGTACAGTTCTGATAAAATTTCATAAGAAAGGTACCTATAAATTAATTAGATACATTTCTTAGGAAATCTGAAATTTAATGTCACTCTTAACAGTCTTATTTTAATTTCTTTATATATTTTCCATAAAGCATCATAAACGTAAAGGTGAAAGCTAAGTACAAAAAAAAAAAAATTAGACTGCTGAAAGTTTTCATTAAAAATAACGAGGTAAATAATTTGTTCACTTAAATGTAAATTATTTCACTTTTCTCCTTCCGTAGAACAAATTAGCCTCATGGAATTTGTAAATATGTCATTCATCACCTGTCAAGAGATGCGAAAGTTTATGACCTGCTTTGTTTTATTTTCAAATTACATCTTTTTGGCACAAAAGCTAAGTTATGTTTGGTTCAAAATATTTTAAATAAACATTATAATTTCTGATTTTCTTAAAATAAGTTTTGAAAAAACGATAATTGATATTTAAAAGAATTTCAAAGTGAGATTTCCAGTTTTTTTTTTAAAATGTAAAAAAAAATGGTCAATTTTGCTGACTCAAAAAAAACTAGATTTTTAACGAAAAATTCGGACAGGCTAGGAACGATTAAAAAAATGGAAAAAAATACCCCAAAAATACTTTGATCTTTCCTCTTAATAATAACAAACATTTAGATGATAAAATTTTGTTTTCGTCAAGTTTGGCGTCTTTTTCATCATGCTATACTCTTTTTTTAGCGATCTCGTAGAGGTACCTATTTTAATATAAATTATGAAGTGTATAGAACATAATTTATAGCATAAAAATATCAAAGAATGTAAGCCCTTCAAAATGGAAATAATGAATTAATAAGAGATGGGAGATATTTTCAATTTGCCAAGACAACTGTATGCATGAAAAGCATTTGGATGAAATATAAGTAAAATGTGGATAAAAGTATGAAAAGAAAAATATGGATAAGAAAATAAGGATTGTATTTGGTTATATATATATATATATATATATATATATAAAATGAGGATAGAACAAATCAAGAAAATGTAAAATTTTTGTTTTTAGTAATTGAAAAAAATTTAAACACTTAAGATAACAATTCAAACTATTCATACAAAACAAATTTTCATATCAAATATTTTTTTTCTTATAGTAACAAATATTTATAATTAAAAGAAATCTCTTTTATTCTACTCTATAATTGGTTTCTTTTGATACTGACTTTAATGTTTTCTTTTTCACTTAAGTAACATTTTCTAACAACATAGCTTATTCTATTTCACAGATATGTTTACATTGTATAATATATGATCTTGTAATCTCCTGTTTTTACATTATTCACTTATGTTATCTTAAATTTTGATTAGTTCACAAAGATATTAACATAATTAAGACATTATTAATAAGTTTGCAAAAAATTTGAACCCACAGCTTGACCAGTCAATGAGATTCAGTTGAGCTAATACAAATTTGACCCCTTGTCTTTATAAACAGAAATTCATATGATCTCTTCTGCGAATCCATGTCAGTTAAATTCCTTCAAATAGATTTGTTTTAGTTACAAATCTGTTATCAAATGATTTAGACAATCTGCCTTCAATGATTTGAATAAGGACAGAAGTTATAAACAATGAAGTTATAATATGAATATGAAGAACAACAAAGGATTTGGTCATAACAAAATATTTTTTTGTTAAATTGAATTTTGGGTATAGTTAACTTGTTTTGTGAAAATTAATTCCAGACATTATTCTACACATTTTCTGCACTAGTATTTTCGTCAGTCAATATGATCTTCAACCTTCCAGAGATATATTTTGTGTATAGTAGTCATTAGAAATTCATACTTTTTTCTTTTTCTTTCTTTAGCTAAAAAAAAAAAAAAAAAAAAAAAAAATATAATTGAGAGCACGTTTTTTTCTAATATTAGTGAAATCTTAATAAGATTTTTTTTATTTCTATCATGATATTTAAATATGCAGAGAAATGCTAAAAGAAACATTTTCACACTAGCAAAGTTTATGCATGTTTATAGACAAACATTCATGGGCATAAATTCCAGTCAACACTGAAAATAATTTTACATTAAAGAACATCAAACAATGAAGTAAATACAGAGCCTCAGACACACAAGGTGCACTGGGTAAATTTTATATTCTTAATTTTGCGCATGCACATTTTTCATTTTGTCAACTGCACAGTATAGTGAAATCAGTTGAGCACCATCTGTGAGAAAAAGAGCGCCATGACGCAATTCACTCTGCCATAAATTTGGAAACAGCATGCTGTACTGCTTGGCATTCGCACCGGAAGCTCCAATACAAACATTTCAGAGTGTTTGGGTGTCAACCTGAGGACAGTGTAGAGGATGCAGAAAGAGTTGGATGAGTCTAATGGCGATTTGGAGTTTGGAATGATCACAAGTGATGGTGATGTTATGCCTCCATGACTGCTGGAAGACCTTATGTCTGGCAATAGGACTCTGCACCAAGCCACACAAGCAAGAGAACCCAGTCATAGCTGTCAGACAATTTCTGCGATGACCAAATCAACCCTTACATCTGGCCACCTAACTCCTCAAACTGCAACCTACTTGATTATTATGTGTGGGGCGCAGTTGAGCAAGAGACCAACAAAACTCCTTGTAACACTAAAGATGAACTGAAGGCAAGAATTATGGCAGCATTCACCAACTTAAACAAGGAGACCATCCATAAGACTTGCAGGCAATTCCAAAGTTGTCTGGAGGCTGTGGTTGAAGCCAATAACGATTTTATTGAATAAATTTATTCTTTAGGATTTCAAGATATTTTTGTTTAATTTTGGTAAATATATCTGTTAAAATGAGATATCAACGTTATTTTCATTTTTGCATAATTTAGACAACAATTTCACACCCTGTATATATAAAAAGGTGTATTTAGGCAACCAGATTTTATTATTTAAACGTTATTTTTAGTGGATACCCATATTAGAGTACATGCTCCATTAATTTATTAAACAACATATTTATTTTCATCTACTGGTCTGAATATTTTTTTAATCAAGTTCACCCCAAGCAAGGCAGTAAAGCCACTAAGACATAAGGGATTACTGGGTGTGGAAGGATTAGAAAACCGAAACATTACTAAGGAGTGAGAACAAAAGAAGAGTAATCAGGTGGACAGTAGATAGCAATTGAGATTGCATTTAAATTTTTGCAGATTAAAGTTGAGTGGGAAGCATGGAGCCAGGAGGTAGTTCAAAATGCAAGAAAAGAAACTGTTAGCATAGAATTTATGGCTACATCTAGGCAGCTCAACTGTAAATTGATGAGATCTCAATGTCAATCTAGTACTGTACTTAAATTCATAAAGTCTAGGTACCATAGTGAAAAGCTCATCCAAACTATTACCATGAAAGTATTTGTAGAAAAGTCATGGGGTGGCAACTTTACATCAGTGGGAAAGTGACTGAAGCCAAGACCCCAGATCAGGACCAATAATATTGGATTTTATCAAGGATCTCTAGGTTGATAGCAGGAGCACTGGAACATATGCAGCAGCAATATTCTAAGCATGGGTGAATGGTAGACTTATAGATATGTAAAATAAATTCTGGAGAGAAAAATTGTCTAGCACAACACAGTGAACCAACTTTCTTAGCAGCTGACGTAGCAATGGATTCAATATAGTTTTTCCACTTCATGTCAGCCGAGATTATTAGTCCAAGAAGGTACAATGAGTCACTCTCCTGGAGGTTATCATCATCCATGTTGATGCAAGGCAGAAAGGGGTCTCTCAGATGATTAATAGAGAGCAGTTTAGCTTTGGAGGCATTAAAATTAACAAGCCATCCCTTGCCCCAGTTAACAACAAACTGAAAGCCATTCCGACATTATCAAGCTGATCGCACTTACTATTGAGACTGGAGTAAATGATTGTGCCATCAGCATAGATACCAAGTTGAGAGCTGATGCTATTGGGAAGGTCATTAAGGAAAATCAAAAATTTATCTGGAGACACTATAAATGTTCAAGTTGTGAAGACCTGTACGCCAAATCGTTGAAAACTTTGGAAATGTCCAAATCTACAGCCCAAGGTTCACTGATCTTATCTAGAGCTTCATAGAATATTTCTACAATTATCGTCAGTACATCAGCAGTTGACCCGGTGAAATGAAAGCTATAATGCTTGTTTTAAAAATGCTCTGTGATGCAAGATGCTTAACCAATTCAGCATTGATTAGGGCCTTTAATAGTTTCCAAAAAAAAAAGAGATAGAAGGACAAGAGGCCAATAGTTGGAAGGGTTGGGTGATTCACCTGAGTTCTTAAAAACCGAAATAACAGATGACGATTTCCAACAGGCAGGAAAGCAAGAAGAAGCGAGGCATTTATTATACAGTTTAGAGAGAACAGGAGCCAGTTTGGGAGCACATGTGAGGAAAATACCTTGGGGTCTCTGGGGATAATTGGGAATTATAAATCAAATTAAATTACATTATCTTATGACTTCCAATGTCCAAATTCAAGTGAGTGTCTATCTGTGTGTTTGATTTATATTAGAGCCCATGTACTATGTTAAAAATTGTTCTATGAAATAAAATGATGCCTACTAGTAACATTAAAAATTATTCTAGAAGTCAATATCCAGAGATATTTATATACAAACATTACATACACACAAATATATATATGTGTAAAGGGTTGTTATATCAAATACAAGATATGAACAGGATGATTGGAAGGAAGGGCAGTATAGAATTGCATATAAATTAACATTACAAGAGTGAAGATAATGTTAAAAATATACAATGCGTTGTTATTCCATGTTGTTCAAACTTGTGTTCTTATCCATGATCATTTTATCAATACATTTATCAAGTGAAAAACTCATTCAATAATGTTTCTTTTCTCTTATAGATAATTTTAAATGCAAGATTTCTCATGAAAGCCACAACAGAACAATATATATTTACAGTACATGTACAAGAAACAAATCAGACCATTGTTTGCCGTTACAGGAGATCTTTATACTAGTTCATACTATGCTCATTTTAAACAACTACATAGAAACTAGCTTTGTTTATTCAGTTTTTTACAGATTCATCTTAGGCAGTGTCTTTCATTATCTCATAAGTTTTTTTTATCATTCTGATTTTGTTCCATGGATTTTGACTTCTAAGTGCTTGTCAAGTCTCATTTTCTGGAGTCAGTGGAATTCATGTTTTCTTTTACTCATATTCTCTCATACTCAGTAATCTTGTGTGTCTTAGTAGCTTTATTTCCTTGCTTGCAGTAAAATGATTAAAAAAACATTTGCTATCACAACTATATAGAATATAGTATACAGTTTCAGATTATATTTTCCTCACAGGATCAAACCTTTGTGATGATGTCACCAAGTAGTTTTGCAGTGGGCAAAAAATTACTTTGGTATTGTTACACACTAAAATTACTGTGACAGGCAGATCTAAAATTAGAGAAAAAAAAATCCCTACCTGACAAATTACACACAAAATATAAAGAATAAAATGCCATGATAAATAATAGCAAGGATAAAAAAAAAACCAGATCTTAATAAAGGAATTATGATAACTCATATCAGAATTTCAGACAAAAATATAGAAAGTATATGTAAATGATATTTTCTTTCTTTTATATTAACTATCTCAATTTATACAATTGAAAACACCCATATATATCAATTTCAGATGAAGATTGATTAATTCTCTATTCAAACTAAGATCAGATATTTTACATCAAAGTAAAGCTATGCTAAACATTTCCATATCTATTGAAAATATATGCTGCCATAAGGATTAATCCATCTGGCATGATTACTTAATTGATGTTAATGAAATATGAGTTGATGGCAACCCTTAAAAATCATTTGAAATGCACAGTATCTCATGTTCTTAGCCACTTCATGTTTTATCAATATATGAAATATTTATTGGTAGCTGAAGGTTTATTTGTTAAATGATGACAACCTGAATGTATGCAAGATGAAAGCCAATTCATTCTGTGTAAATGTAAATATAAACAAACAGCAGCCATTTTTATGAAATGCCCTGAATTTAGAAATCTCAAATTAATAACCATGTTGCATATTTGAGACTGTAACATGAGCTGTAAAGGTTTATTTGACAAGAGAAATATTTAATTATATCAAAGCTTACAAAAAGTAAAACTTCATGAAATTACAAAAATGATCAAAATGTACAATTGACATGTGAAGAAATTCAGTGAACATCCTTGATGATTCCAGTGCATGTCTCTAATCTGTGTTCTATATCTCTAGAAAGCAGTTGTCAAAATATCCATTTTTTTGTCTAGCTATGAAATTTTAAAGCATTTTAAGGTTTGTGGCAGCAAGGAAGTGTCAAAAGAACAAGACCCTTGAAGTCCTAAATCAAGTGGCAAAACATGAGACCCCAATCACCAGGTCTTGGGAAAAACTGAATGAAAAGTACAATATATGAAAATTGATTTTTCAACCATTATCTAACAAATGCTACATTACTTTTGATGTTCCAGGTAGAGAGAGCAACGGTTGGGAAGATACTAGAAGAAACCACTCTCACAGATTGAAATATCAAAGCAGATGTGGCAAGATTTTGGGGGATGAGAGTATAGGTGGTGAAATGGTGAGCCCACACAGAGTCCCAGATGGTGTTAAGATAATATTTCAGACATTCAGTGATAATTTTGAAGACACACATTGAGCCACAATTTAAAAAGTCAAGTGCTTTCAGAAAAAAAAGATGATTTTCATACCCAACATTCAGTGAAGAAAATTAATGAAGATTTGAATAAAATATGTTTCAAAGACACTGATGAAATGGCTGATTTGTTTATCACCTTAACTTGACCGAAAACTTGTGGAGCATTCTGAAGAGGAAGGTTCACATTGGCAGAGAGTAATTTACCAGTAAACATTAGAATATTATCCTGGATGCTATGCAGTTTGCTTCATATGAAGAAATAGTACTAAATCAATTTTTGAATGACCCCTAAAACTAGTTTCCCAACATGAAACAACTTATCAGCATTTTCATCAAAACATTTGTGTTTGTCAACTTTTTGCAAGTTTTGTAATTATGACTTAATTACAACATCTTTCTTGGAGTTTCAGTAACCTGGTTAATAATGTAAAACTTGAAAAATCCAGTGAAATTCATAAAACTTGTCCCATCATAAGAGTGACATGAAGTCTACTAAATTTATATTATGTGAAATATCTGGCATATTAATAGAGCAAATATTTCCTTACACCCCTTCATTAATTTTCTGAAAATTGGGAAAAATTAAAAGTAACTAATAATGTGAGATATAGTGTACTTCTCAAAAGATTTTATAATGAATAGAGGGTTAATGAAATTTTATCATCTATAATCCAAAATTAGGCCAAACAATCTTATAAAAATTACTTTTTCATTATTGTATTAAAATTAAACTATATCTCATTTTTAAAGTAGAGTCTACTAAAGGCAATAAAATATCTTGCACTGAGAGTCTGTTAGAGATACTAATGGTTATATTATAAACACAGGACACAGCATTCAAGGAGGGTTAACATTCCAATGGTATCAACAACATTCACTAACCAAGTGATTATTACAGAAATATACTAGTCAATATCTTGTCATATCTAACATTGATCACAAACACAGTTGCACCAAATAGGGAGAGTGACAAGCAAGCTAAAGCTTGATTCCTTAGCTAACACTTATTTAAAACATTGTGCAGTTTCTAAATGACAATCCTGTGTTAAGTTTCCATTCCAAAACCCTTACCCTAGAAGTAGCTGTAGGGTTCTCAGCAGGGTCAGATTTTTGAGTTTTCAAAAATTGTTCATAAGTGCTTACATCAACAGCATACAAGCTCTGGACCCAAGTGCCAATGAGGGCTTTCACTTTGGTTTTGCTGAAAGCAAAAAAGGAAAAAAAAAAAAAAAGATGTATACTTTAATCCCAATGTCAAAAAATGTGGCTGATAATAAATACAGAATCTGCTAATAAAAATAGAGAATCACCTAAAAAAAAAAAAAAGAGAGAATTTTATAAAAAAAACTAAGAATGTCAAATTGTCTCACAATGAATATTTTATATATATATATATATATATATATATATATATATATATATATATGTGTGTGTGTGTATGTATTACTTAAATTGCTGATAGTTTTTAATATTATCAGTAACTTTATTTTTTTTAAAACCAAAATTTACAAGACAAAACATCAAATAAAAGATTAATTTGGTTTAGCATTCACTTTTTCATAAATAAACTCAAGAAAGGTATAAATCCATCTCTTCTCCCCTAGCTATGAGTTAAATAGCAGGGCAGACTAGGTTTTCTAACTTTGATTGGCAACCAATTTAGTAGGATTGAAAACTGGTTGGGCATGGGGCTGGCAATTCTATCTGTAAAAACCTGCTTGCTATGGAAAACACAGCAGTAACACCTAGCATGATGAAGCTGGGGCCCTATTCTCCACTGAAGGGTTTACTGATACTGAGGAGAAGGAATTTGATTTATAATTTTGTTTACTTCAACTTGATTCAATGTTTTTAAAGTGAATATATATGTCTCTGAACACATTTTGTTTTATTTAAATCACTAAAAAAAACAAAAAAACAAAAAAAAAAACGTGTTTCAGTTAACATAATCTAAATTCATTAAGATTTCAATAAGTTTTATAAAGTATATATTTATCCAATGAAGCTTAAATACATTTAATTTATAAATTTTAAGGTAAAAATGTGTGTAGAAAAAAAAAAAGTAAATAAAAATTATGAACTTACTTTGCATCATAAATATAGCCTTCCACTTTGTGTAAATCACGGCCAAACCAACCATTTTGTTTAAATGTCAACACAGCTTTGTGCTTGGTTTTATGATTAAGAACTTCCATGACCCCATACTGAAAAAGAAAAAAGATATATAAATGACTTTGCTGTTATGGATTTTATAAACATGCAGTTACATTAATATAAAGAATATTTATATGCTCTACAGTTGGGAAAATGAATTGAGTATGATAACAATCAAATCAAGACTACCCTTGAGAATAATCAATGTGATACAATTGTGTGTGAGAAAAGAGAGAGGAGCTAAGAGACTTAAAAAGATCCAAATCAAGTGTTAAAAAACATTTGCACCAGCTGGTTATGTTAGAAAGAGTTTTTGAAATAAAATGTGACAGTTGATAAAAAGTAATTGATTTTACAAGAACATGAAAGAAGAGAATTTATAGGAAAAACAAAATGAAGCAATACTAATCACACCAAAAGCCAGTCTTAATTCAAAGATACTGAATATATGATGGGAATCTTCTACTATGTGTTCCTTCTGGAGAACCAAGTAATTGAGTTGGACAGCTATTATACACAATTAGATCAAATGTAAGTAACAATCAATGAAAAGCTGTCAGAATTAGTTCTAATATTACACTAGACTGTATGTTTCTTGGATGACTAAACAAAAAATGTTACAGCTTGGTTGGCAAGTTTTTTACTCATCTGCTCTATTCACAAGATATTGCCTGTTTGTAGTACCATTCATTCTGATCTTTACAAAATCTCTTAATGAAAAAAAAAAATGTTCACTTCCCTTGAAAACTGCAAAGGGTATCTGAATCAGTTTTTTACTCAGAAAGACAAAGAAGTTGATTGAAAGATGACAGAATAGAACAAAATAATAAACAAGCTTTTCAATAATAAAAACAATTGTTTTATTTATTTTACTTAATAAACCAAATATACTTTTTAGCAAACATATGATATATATATATATATATATATAAAAAGAGTGTGTGTGTGTATACATATATACACACATACACCTATTATACAAAGTAACCAATATTTATATTATTTACATTCAGACAAATATCCTCATTTCTGTTGTTATCAATCTCACATTAGTCTGATTGTTACTTATGTAAATAAGAACTCCTCATTATAGAAATTCTGACTTAAACTAACCAATATTATTTATATTAAAATAGATTGTAAGATTATTAGCAAGCATATTGAATCCAATTCACAAGTAAGTTAGAAATTAACAATAAAAGAAAAATTGCAATAAAAATATTGATCAAAGGTGCCTTTTCATCTGATATAAACAAAATAAAGCAACAATTAAATTAATATATGCAATACTGAATGTTTAGCAATAGTCAATAATTCTTTTAATTATGTTTCAGCCAAAGTCCAAGTTTACCAATTACAAAAAAAGAAATATATTTATGCTTTTTTGAACATGAAAAATGTTTCAAAGCTTTAATTAATCTACTGATATTAAATTGAATGATAAAAGAAAAGTTCAATTACTTTCAGAATTTATGCAAATGCAATTCATTATAGTATTAGAAGAAAAAAAAAACAGAACAAAGCTTTGAGATTTTGTATTTAACCAACAGAAGAAATATTTCAACTAGTTAGTAAAAAATGTAACAATAAGGTCACATTAAAAATTCTGTAAGTTTTCAGAAAATACAAGTTATATACTAGAAATATATGAATGATCCAAAACTTGTAAAATCATTTGAGTAGAATACAAAAATAGCAAAAGATAATGACTTTAATTTAGCAAAACTTTGAATTGCTAATTAAATTAAGTGGAATTAAACCAGTTGTACTTCAGCAAAAAATGCTTTCTGCAATTAGAAGAGACATTAACAGAAAAATCAATGCTAGTGTCAGAAACTGAAACCTAAAATGAAAAATTTTCTGAGTTTATCTTCAAGTAAGAAATTCTCTTTAACAAAATAGCAAAATGAAAGAAGGATAACTTAAAATGTAACTTTTGTAAAATTAAACCACTGTTCTAATCAGAAAATTTTCAGCTATAAAGATAGATATGATTCTAGTATATAAAATTCATTGTAAGATCTCTTTAAAAATTTTAAAAGTTATTCATAGCAGTTGGGTATTTTAAAACTGTAGATAGACATCTTCCCAAACAATATGTTCATTAACTTTTTGTTTTATAAATTGGCTTCAATTATCAACAAGAAATTAAAGAATTTTAAAATAAAATTACCTCATTTTTATCTTCCAACACATTTTTATATAAATTTCAGGCAATAGACTTATTAAACAAAGAGATGACAATGAAAAAAGAATTTAAATAAATTTTAATTAAAACTAAAATAGCTATAGAAGTTGTTTTAGTTTTAAATCAAGGAATAAAAAAAAAGAAAAGATTGTTTCTCTTTGTGATAAAATGTTTTGATCTTTTTCTGTTTGTTCAATATTTTTCCCAGCCAATGTTTTTAAAATGAAATAGAAAAAGAAAAAAAAAAACAAATTGCTGCAAGTGATTCCATTAAGTAGATTATCTTTACTATTATATACAGGGTTATTGAAAAGTAACTAACCATTTTAAAATACTTAGAATTTATTTATTAACTATAATTTTTAAATGGATAGGAGAGGAAAGCATTTAGCATGAGGTTTTATTTAAAATTTGATATGGGCACCAGATTTCATGACCAGGTTCTCAAGCCACCCAGGAATCATGTCAACTGATTTCACCAAGAACTCTTGTGCTATGGAAGACATAACTTCTTGTATTCGCCCTTCAAGTTCTTCCAAAGTCTTGGTTTGGTATAGTAGACTTGCTCCTTTAACCAACCCCAAAGAAAAAAAGCCACAGGGTGTTAAGTCAGGATACCTGGCTGGCCACTGGGAGTTACTTTTCAATCACCCTGTAATTGTTTTTAAATGTATATTTAAATAAATATCCATAAAGTTTATCCAAGTTATCAAATGTTTATGGATATTTATCCAAGAACAATTACCATCCAAACTCTGTCTAATGTTTTTTGGACATGTAATATTAATTTTATGACAATCTAATGAAACATTAAGCTTTGAAGCATTAAACCATTTTTTATTTGTCCATAAAATTAGGAGATTATTTTTTATTACAGTTTAGATTGGACTAATGTAAACTGAAAAAAAAAAAAACTATTTTAATTTCATATTACGATCATAAGAAATATTTCAGATCAAAGTTAAGTGCAACGGTATTCAAAATGCTCAGCAGAAATTAAAAAGTTAATCCTAACATTAAAAACTATAAAAAAATATCTCTTCTATTTGCTTTATGCGTTTACCTCCAACCAGAACCTAAAAATCACAAAATACTTACATGCTCTACCCACAGCTTTCCAACAATAACATTATGTACACAACAATTAATATTGGACCAAGTGTAGACTTCATTAAACCTAGAAAAAATAGAAACAATCAACATTTAAAAGGAATATAAATCAGAAACTCCTGGTTCGATATAAAGGAAATAATTACTCTTTTAATACTGGGAATTTTAATAGACATTGTAAATCAACAAAGTTGTTTAAGTATTTGACTTTTGTTTCAAAAAATATTTTACACATTAAGAAAATCAATCATGGCTCTCCACAACTTCTTATCTTTTGTAGGTTTAAGCAAAGTTTGTCCACTTACTATACTTCCCAGTCCATTTGCATAAGCTTGTTAAGTATGTTACTCGCTATTTTTTCTGCCCCTTTTACATTCAATATGCCCCATGTGTGTCAAATTCTTCAAGCGCTCTTTTCTCATTATATGTCCCAGAAATTTCAACTGACTCTTTCTGATTATAAGAACAATTATCCTTTTTGTTACTATTTTCCTTAAAGCTACCTCACTGTTCACATGTTCTGTCCAGGTCATTCTCATTATCATTCTGCAGAACCATATCTTTGTTGTCTTAAGTCTCCTCTTCAGCTGTGAGGATTCACTAACATATAGAAGGGTTGATATTACACAGCAGTTCCAATAAAATTTTCCTGTTTCTTAATACTTTGTTGAGCTTTTGGGAAGCCTCTTTCACTATTCCAATACACATCCAGATTTCTGTGTTACATTTTCCATTGTCTATTAAAACATGTACCAGACTCCATGGTCAAGGTAAGGAAGAATTGTGTGCTTAAAGAATTTTATATAAAAACAAAAAAAAAAAGAAAACATTAAGAACTTACAATTAATCAATTAGTATATATACTGGTTGCATAAGTCTAGTTGAATTTCATGAGAAGAGATAGTTTCTTAGTTTGCTGCCTTTATTCTAAATTCTGTATGAATATAAAATCTCGTAAATGACTAAAGAAGTTAAAGCACTATTTTGGTTTGAAAACTACTGGGGGGTTCTTGGAAAAAAAAAAAAATGAAAAGTAAAAATCTGAAATTGTGATTTACTTTGTTAGTTCAAGAGTGATGATGCCTTTGGGATTGACTTCTACTGATTTCCCCCAAAATCTTAATTTTGGATGAATTGAGCCATGAAATTGGAACAAATCTGATTCAACATGGAATGCACTGATGGGAGGATGATGGCTAACTTGCTCAGAGATCAAACGGAAACCCATATCAGGTCTGCAAAGAGAAAAAAACTCATTAGCATTCACAAAAGTACAAAAAGCATAAATATCCACAAAACATAGCAAAATACCTATGTGCAAAATACCTCTGTGCATGTGTGTGTGAATGAACTAATATCTGAGCAGTTTTCTTGTGTCCATTTGAAAGCACAAAATTTGAGTGCACAAATCTTTTATGAACGCACAATTCTTTGTTACATAGAATAATTCATTATGCACTTTGTGATACATTTTCCTTATATTATATATATATATATATATATATATATATATATATATCAAAAATACTTATTAACACCAAAACAAAGACAAAAGTCCCTATAAACGTATGTCCATAAATCCTTCGTTTTTTTAGATATTAAGTTTAAAGTTTATGGTAGAGACTGTTAAATGAACAATCCAAGATAGAATCAAAAAATACTTTTACAAACTTTGAGGGTAGGTTCCCGACACCAAATCAAGGTAAAAGGTCCACATAAAAATATGTTGAAAAGGCCATCGTTGTACCTCAACATAGAAATTCATAAGAAATGTTTAAAATGTTCTCTGCTTGGTTCTACACACGCATGCACCTGTTGGATTATTGACTGGCAGACCGTTTCAAATACTCTCACACAGTTTTCCAAGCCCTCATTAATGAAGCGTCTCTGCATTATTAATGTCTGCTACATGAACCAAATGTTTCAGGTGGCCCCATAGATAAAAATCCAAAGGATTGACGTCAGGGGGGGAACATGCAGGCCATGGAACCAGTCCTCCCCTATCCATATTTCATGGTAGGATCTCAGATATTACATTGTAAACAATCCGACTAAAATGTGCTGGAGCCTCATCATGCATGAAACACATGCATCTTTGTATTAGCAGGGGTACATGCTCTAACAGGTCTGGAAGTTTCTTCAAAATAAAGTCTCTGTAGACAGCAGGGAGAACATATGGACGTATCAGACAGTCACCTAGAACTTCAGCCCACACATTAAACATAAACTGATGCTGGTGTCTAGCCTATATTCACCCATGAAGGATTCTGATCCATCTACAAATGTTGGTTGTGTAAATTTGCTATTCCATCTCTTCCAAATGTTGCTTCATCTGTAAACAAGACTGAAGAGACAAACAATGGATTGGCAGTTTGTGTAATAAAACATTGGCAAAAGTTCTCTCACAGTGAATGATCAAAGGGCGAAAGAGCCTGCACACGTCGCAAATGATATAGATAACAAGAGCTACTCTTAAAGTACTCTCCATGCAGTAATATGAGATATACGACATGCTAGAGCCACTTGACATTTTCTGATACCTGGATTGTCTCTGACAACCTGTAGAATGTGTTCATCATGGTCAGGCATACAAGCAGATTTTGAATCAGCAATGCAACGATAAACAGCAGCAAAGGTTAGATGACTCAGCTGCTTTCAGTCAGGAAATACAATCTGATACAGCCATGCAGCCTCACATCCATTACCATTCATGCAGCCATATGTAAAAAATCATATCTGCCTGCTAAGCGATATGAATATCCAGCCATTGTTAAACGGAACAATTCTCAGTTAACTCACTACTGCACATGTTAAAGAACCTCAAATGTAGATGACAAATGTAATCTAGTCTACATAGCAACACAGCACAAACTATCATAAACTTTCTTTAAACTTAATAACTCAAAAGCGAAGGATTTGCAAAAAATGTTTATATGAACTTTTGTCTTTGTTTTTTGGTGTGAGGAACCTACCCCAAAAGTTTGTAAAAGTATTTTTGATACACCATATATATATATATATATATATATATATATATATATATATATATATATATATATATATATTAGGAAATTAATAACAAAAGTTGAAAAAATTTAAAAAATTTTCATGCAACATGTTTCACACTGAAATTTGAAAATTAAATTAATTTTTTTTTTTTGTCATTAATTTTCTTAACATTGTTCTGGCATATAAAAAATTTATATATCATTTTTTCCCCTATAAATATAAGTGACAAATTTTATTTGTATTATTCCTATATATATATATATATATATATATATATATATATATATATATATATATATATGTGTATTCAACCAAGTTTTATTAAAATTGACAGATGATGTGCATCTGCTTAATTTTCCATTATATTTTTCCAGTTTGTGTATAAGTTGTCATAGATCCAGATCAAATTTATGGAGAAATTGTCCAAAGTTCGTATAAAGTCTATCAGGAACATTGGTGTTTTCAGTGTCATAGAGAAACATTTTTATTACCTCCATCATGGCATTGAAAATCTCAACATCATCATTTAAAAAACATCATCAATTCAAAAAGAAAAACAAAAGGCCTAAAAGTGTTCTTAATAGATTTCTATAATTACTATACACTAGATTTGATTTTTAACAGGAAAATGAGAAAGTCAAAAAGTAACACAAATAGATAAAGTAAAGATTATTTATCTTTATTATCTACTTTTCAAAACTATGCTACATCAATTCCATGGTAGGAAAACTTATCATTTGATTTATCTTGTATCCAAGAATTTAATTTCTTCTTTACCAAGCACTTCCTTTATGATGCTGAGTTTATGATGGCATTGATGACTAAATTCACTGCTGACATCCAAGTCCAGCACTAGAAACTTCCAGTTCCACCAAAATGTGCTAGTCATCCCTATTGCCATTTGGCTTTGTAAGAGTTGATTGGAGGTGAAAGACAATCAGTGTAGAAGAAAGTGCTGATTGCATAAATTAGTTTAAAGTGGAGCACAACTTGCCAGGAACTGTTTTTTTGGTTTTGTGGATTTTGTAAGCTCATTTTTTTGTGTTGAGGATAAAATGATGTGGGTAGTAGAGAAGTTTGAAAGTTTTCTAAATATATCTCTTCCTCATATTCTGGGATACATATCTTAATTATCAGAATATGAAAGTATCCTAGGCTCTAAGGTAAAATCCTATGACTAGTCCAGATTTTATTTTTTGGTTGTGGTGGGAATAGAAGTTGATTAGATCATTTTTGTTTCTTGGTTTATGATATACCTTAAAATCTTATTTCTCATTGTTGTGTATTAATAACATGTCGAGGAGAGGTAGAGAATTGTTTATTTCAAATTCATGTGTGAATTCAATGATAAGGTTTTATTGAGTTTCATTATTATGTCTCATAGGTTTGTATCTTGGGGATATGATAAGAGGAAGTTGTCTATATATCTTTATAAGCACTTGTTAAACAAGACAATGATTAATCATTTAATTAAATACAAATACAGTTTAACGTCTGACATATTTGTTTTTCATCCAGTAATGTTAAAATATCAGAAAAAAGTTATTCTATGAATTTTCATAGTTAATAGCTTTGAATCTACATTAATCAACTATAAAACACTTCTATCACATAAATATACACACCTGTCAATTTTTTTCATTTTCGAGCATATTTTGAACAAGCATTTTATATTACTGAAACTCATAGAATATGTAGCAATGATTCACTTTTCTTAAGACAACACTCAATCATTGTAACATTACCCTAGGGGAATTTATTTTATTTAATATAGAGAGGAAGTTAAAAAAAAAAAAAAACCCCAAAAAACAAAATGGATTTATCACAAAGACTGATGCTAATAATATAGTTAAGGTTTCCAAGCAACACATACTGGCATGAAAAGCTAATCAATTTACACTAAGAAAATTTGATGCTTTCAAAATAAAAACATTAGAAATCATGATGTGTGTTATATCAAAAAAGGTCAACTACTGATTCAATATTAAAGAACATATCCTTGCCTGGCTAACGTCATATATAAAATCAAGTCTAATATCCGAAAGCAAATAATAGGTATGTGCAAAAGTTACACTTTTTGGAATACACACTTACAAACTAGTCTTTTGCTGGAAATTTTTTGCACATGCTTAATATATTGGTTAGAGAGATATCAGCATGATAAACAGGATATTATAAAGAAAAAAAGAAAATAAATCTACCATTTTTTTTCTAGCTTCTCTTCTCACAATATACATTTATACATAAAAAGAGACTGCTATTTTCATTTACATGAAAATACGTAAAGATTTTAATTATTTCACCTCAAGAAAGGCAACAAAGCTTCTAAGACACAAAGGGTTACTGAGTATGAGAAAATATGAAAAAAGGAAAAACACTATTAAGGAAAGAGAACAATAAAAGAATAGGAATTAAGACACTAGATAATATTTTTTTTTTTTTTTTTTTTTTTTTTAAGCGTTTCACCCCAAGCAAGTCGGGAAGCCACTAGGACGCAAGGGGTTACAGAAAATTTGGAGCAAGATCAGATAGGAGTGATAGAAGAAAGGATGAGGAGAAGGGTAGTGGATAGATCAAGGCAACTGGAGATGTTGATTGACATTACATTTGAATAGCTGGAGATTATAGTTCTCAGGGAAACTGGAATAGGGAAGGGAGTTCCACAGGCGAGAGGTGCGAGACATGAAGCTATTAGAGTAGAAGAGACGGCTACATTTAGGAGTTTCGACAGTGAAGGGGTGAGAGCGGTATGCCAGCCTCGTAGGGTGCTTGAACTCGAAGTCTGGGAACCAGCAATTGCAGCTCCTCTGAGCAATTGCCATGAAAGTATTTGTAAAACAGACAGAGAGAGGCGACTGCGCGTCTGTGAGAAAGTGACTGTAGACGAGATGCCAAATCAGGGCCCAATTATATGGCATATCCGCCTTTGGAGCCTATCAAGAACCCTGAGGCAAACAGAAGGGGCTCCAGACCATATATGGGAGCAATACTCTATGCAAGGGCGAATTGTTGATTTGTAGATCTGGAGGATCGATTCCGGGGAGAAAAATTTCCTGGCACGGCACAGGGAGCCAACTTTCCTTGCGGTGGACGAAGCAATTGACTCAATGTATTTGTTCCATCTCAGGTCAGCAGTCAACGTGAGACCGAGCAGCCGCAGAGAGGTGCTCTCTTGAGCGTCAGACATTCTAATGGAGGGCAGGGAAGGATCTCTGTGGTGATTAAT